TTTCTCTCCTTTTTTTATTTTTATTTTTATTTTCTTCTCCCCCTAATGCCTCAACAAATGAAACGGATTTGTAAAAATGTTACATGGGGAAAAATATATATGAGGCACTACACTTCTGTAAAACAAGAAAATCCTTAATAAAATATTAAACAAAAAAAAAAAAAAAAAAAAAGAAGCTAAGAACATGTTAATAAAGGAAAAAATGGGGGGGGGGGACCCAGTAACGACAGACATTGTACAAGTTGCTAATAATAAATAAATAAATATCAGCCTCTGAAGGGTAATGATATATTAGGCAGAAATTGTTCACATTTCCCCAAAGCAGCTACAATCCAGGAAGGAGGAATGTGTTTGCTTCTGATAAGCTCAGCATTGCCAGTGTAAGCGACTAATCAGTGTTTTGTTACCTTTTTCCTATTCAATTCTTTTTTGTGGCTTACCAGTGGTTTGAAGTTGAGCAGAGAAATAGCAAGAATAAAGAGGCAGGTATCAATTTACATTTTGACCTGGAGAGTTAAGGCAGGTCTCAGCTGATTTGAGATTTCTTTTATTCCTGTGGACTCTGCCTAAGTACAATGGACAAAAATGTTGTAGTATAATAAAAGATGGGTCAGGCTGTGCAGCTGCACAAGAAGCATCTCTTTTAGAAAAAGCACATAGCTCCATAACACACGTAGGTGTGTGAACATTAGCAAATAAAAAATATTGTTATCTGCTCAGGAAATGCCATCAGCTTACCAAATATCAGCTATGCATTCACCTGCACCATCATTCATATAAATATAACCCACCCCAAAAAAGATTTTAAAAATGCTTCCTTCTCTTCTCTTCCTACTCACAGTCTTTGTCTATATTTTTTTGAGAATTTCTGGAGAACAGGTGAGATCCCTGCAGATTGGAGGCAGACAAATGTTGTCCCCATCTTCAACAAGGAGGAAAAAAAGAAGACCCAAGTAACTAACAGCTGGTGAACTTGATACTGATACCAGGAAAGGTCCCAGAACAGATAATTAAAGTCAGTCTGTGAGCACTTGGAAAATGATGTTGTGATTCCAAAAACCAGCATGGGTTTTTCCACAAACAAGTCATGCCAGATGAATCTCTTTTCTTATTTTGATAAAGTTGAAAAGTTGGTAGATCATGGGAATGCCGTGGACATAGTATATCTTGATTTCAGTAATGTTGTTGACAAAGTTCCTTGTTCAGACCACACCTGGAATACTGTTTCCAGTTCTGGACACCACAGTTTAAGAAAATTATTGATAAGCTGGAACATGTGCAGAGGAACATGCCACATGGAGGATGGAACAAGCATGTTTTGTCCTGTGGACCTCAACCAATGGATTCAAGTTACAAGAAATGAGTTTCTGACTAACCAGGAAGAACTTTCTGATGGTAAGAGCTGATTGACAATAGAACAGATTCCCGCAAGAGATGGTAGACTCTCCTACCTTGGAGGTTTTTATGCCATTACTTATATTATATCTTTTACCACCACATATCCAATTCAAATCTATTAACTGGTTATCCTTTATACTCTATTTAGGTTATTCTCATTGTGCACTTTTATGTCAGTCCTGCTAATGATTTAAGGTGTTTACAAAAATTCTTCATATAATCTAAAAAATTTCCCTGTTCTACATTAAAACATCTCTCTTCTTGGTCTCTTAATCTTCTGGTAAGTTTCACCTTTTCTGCACACACCATCAGTTTTTGTTGCCAGTCTTCCTTGGTTGGAACTGTTTCTTCTTTCCATCTCTGTGAGTGGTCGTATTCTTGATAATCTCCCATTGCCTGCTTCTGGGATCATTTTTAAGATATCTGTTGATGCCCCTATGTATTGTTTCATATGGTTGTGGAAAACATTCCTCAGACTTTAGGAAGTTATTTGCTGCTATGATAGTTTTGAGTTCAGCATTGAAAAAGACCTGCATCTGCTTTGGTCAAAGAATGTGTGATTAAAATTCTGGGGGTTGCTGAAATGGAGAGCCACAATTCACGGAAGAATTGGATTGATGCCATCAGGCAACTTCGTTCCAATGGACTCCATTCATTTGTTATTGGCACCCACAAAGGAATTATAAGATGTTATAAAAGAATCTATTTTTGTAACTTTGACAGTATTTTTTCCAGAAAATTAAAAGAAGCAAGTAGCTTGTTTATCTATTTTTTTGTATGTGTATACAATATAGCAGAAGACCCAATTATCGATGTCTCAAAGGCTATGTACAACCCTCTAAAATCTTGATCTACATCACCTTATCACCTTATGGTGAAGCTATAAACCCTCAGTGGTGACCATAGAAGCACAACATCTCACTGGGAGTCAAGCAAAGCAACTGGCAAGAAATATTATTTTAAATGCAAATATTCCTTCCACCCTCTAAAAGGTCCTATGAAAAACTTCACAGTTAAATGCAAATCAGATGCCTTTACTCCTGGCCAGTTAACTTAATCTCCATGGCCACTGAGATGAGGAATTGAGATTGACTGACTGGCGGTTAAAGGGCAAAAAGTCATTAGTTGCAGAAAATAATCAAGTATCCTGTTGCCCAACTCAGACCAATATACCAGCTGTGCACATTCCTGGTATGGTCAGTCCTGACCATGATCTGACATGTATTATTTAAATCTCATAGAATCATAGAATTGTAGAGTCGGAAGGGACCCTGAGGGTAGTCCAAGACCCTGCAATGCAGGAATCTCAGCTAAAGCATCCCTGGCAGATGGCCATCCAACCTCTGCTTAAAAACCTCCAAGGAAGGACAGTCCACAACCTCCCGAGGGAGTCCATTCCACTCTTGAACAGCTGAACTATTATCTTCGCTGGACTATTATCCTATGCTCTATAAGGGGTTGCTTTTGAAAACTTCAATCGGTGCCGATTACTGCTGCTAGACTCTTGATTGGGACCATGTGTTGGGATCATGTGACCCCTTTATTTTATCAGCTGACTGGCTGCTGGTTCCTTTCTATGTGCAATTCAAGGTGCTGGCTATATCCTTTGAAGCCCCAAATAGCTTAGGACCAAGTTTCCCAAAGAATGACCTCTTTCCGTGTGAATCTGCTGGTCCTTTAAGATCAGTTGATGTGGCCCTCTTAAGCATGCCATTGGCTTCTGGTGGCAATTTGTGAGAGGGCTTTCTATGGAGCACCACTCCACATATGGAACTCCTTGAACCAGGAAGTCAGGCCAACCTTCATCTTTATCTGTGTCCTGTGGGCATCTGAAGACTCCCATCATCCCCAGCGAACATGGGCAATGGTAAGGGATCATGAAAGTTGTAGTTCTCCAGCATATGGAGGGCCACAGGTTCCCCACACCCATTCTGTAAACCCGTGTTTCCAAAATTGGGTCTTCAGCTGTATTGGACTACAGTTCCCATCATCTATGACCACTGGTCCTGCAACTAGGGATGGTGGGAGTTGTAGTCCCAAAATAACTGGCGACCCAAGTTTGGAAAACACTGTGTAGACTAATCTGCTTCCTCTGTGCTTTAATTGAAGACTTATTTTCCCTAATAGGTGTGACTGCAATAAAACCACATTACACACTTAAGAAAGGCTTTATTATGAACCTACGTGAGTTTCAATCTGCTAACCTCCTTCTCTTAAAAAAAAAAGGGTTTCATTAAATATTATTCTCTCTTTACTGCATTACTCCCTGACATGGATTTTGCTGTAATATATTACTGTGCTCTGTTTTATGTAAAACCTAATTAAACATCAAAAATAATAGTGCGCTGCATTAATTACTTTATGATCTCCAAAAACATAATTTATGAAACATTAAAGCAAAATAATTCAGTTACACCCATAAAGTAACTGAATTTACACCCTGAAGGTAAAAAGAACAGGAAAGGGAAAGGGTGCAGAATCTCCATAGTGACAGCTGGAAAAATGGCATCTGCAAATGACTGGAGAAGACATAATTTCACCTGGGATGATGAAACCTTTCAGCTGATCAACCCCATGTTTTAATAAGGCCCAACCTACTCATAAGGCAAATCTCCTCTTGCCCTCCCTCCCCCCCCACCCCAGGCACTGGGCATTTGGAAGGTCCCATGCCACCAGCTGCCTTGTGCAAATGCTTCTGTTTCTCAGCTAGCTCTCTTGCTACTTCCAGCCAAGAATGAAATTGCTTACAATTACTAGCAATTACAGGGAGCACTCTCAACAGAAGTCGGAGGAGAAGAAAGGGGGTGCGTGCACACAGTCTGGGAGGATCTGCTCGAAATGATTGTTTGGGCAGATCAATGGACTAATTTCTTTTATAATAGCCTTTATGCTGTAAACCAAGTAGCAAATGTTATTGATTTTGTGGAGTGCCTGTCATTTAGGCAGGCAGAGGATGGGAGCAAAGAGGGATTGAGGATCACAGAGTCCCTAAAAAAGGGCAGAAAGGAATAATGCAATTCTATGTGGGTGGTACACGGAGATGCAAATCCTCCCCTCACCCCGCTCCCTGTGTCCACACAATAGGATCATTGTCCACAGAGGATGGGCTGTGTCCCAGAAGCATCCATCTTTCCCCTTTATCTGTGCCAAGGAGAGAACTGGAAAAACAACAACGATGAAAACTAGTGTTTATATGAATTCCTACATTTTACCAAGCCTTTTTTTGAGCTGTGAGATTATTTGGATTCAGGGTATTCTCCAGATACCTCTGAATTCCCTGGACACCCCCTTCCCTGACACCAGGTTGTTAGATGGAGCACTGTCACTTCATTAGTTCATGAAGCTCCATTTCTCTCCGCTCTTGATACTTGTTTTCTGGAATGAACAAAGCAGGAGTTCCAAATCCAACAGCTGCAATTCAGGTTCCCTCCCCACAATAATTCTGTTTGTGTTCCGAATGAAGTAGCCTTCCACCTGATCATGTGAAAAATTAATAAATATATCAGTTGAAGGACCGGAACTGCTGGACACATGAGAAGTAGCTGGAGATGAATGAATCATACCCCTGGAGATGAATGAATCATACCCAAGAAGTTGATTCAAATGAGTTGTGCAAAATTACAATGAGAAAACAGGAGGGATGTGATGCAGCTGATTTTAAAACCTGATTTAAATCAAATTATTATTATTTTCTTATTAAGTTTTATTTCTTATAATCTCCCCTTTCTCATAGAGCCCAGGGTGGCTTACATCATCTAAAAACACAGGCTTAAACAACATAATTAAAACCACAACCTAAAAAAAATATATAGTAATCGAAGTGTAGAACAACCAGTGATACAGTTACAGCAAACAGGTCTCTCTTACTATGTCACAAAGGGCTGCAAAAATAAATAGATCTGGAAGTGATTCCTTAATGAAAATAGCAGGGCGACAACAGGAATTTCCACAGAGGATGCCACCACTGAAAAAGCCTTGCGTTACATTCACCAGGGGATCCACAACCAGCACCAGCACCCCCACTACAGAACTCAAAACTTTGGTTGGTTGGTACTAGGGCAAGCTTGTTCAGGACTGTGCATGTTAGTACTAACAACTTGAAATGATCTAATAAAACGGTATTATTGTGAAACATATTTTAGTTTCTGCATGTAGCCAGAATCCACATTTGCCAAGGGCGAAGCATCTCACCTCTCAGTCATTACCTCCCAGGAAATTCAAATAAATCCCAATTTGAGTTCATTGCTAAGATTTATGTCCAAGTGGTTGTTTTGTGTCCTTTCATCTGCTGCAGGAAGTAAGATTCCTTGAATATGAATTTTGTTTTTTGTCTAAAGGTTCCCTTGGCAACTCTTGCAACAATTTATTTTATCTTATTTCAACATTCATAGACGGCTGATTATCCCCTTCTTCTGGGCAACACGGTTATCACTTGGTAACATTATTTCTCATGTATATATATATGTGTCGTAATTGCATTGTAAGAAATGTCTGTTGATATTAGCTAATCTTTGATAGCCATTTCCCACTCAAACAATGTAGTTTGATAACTGAAATTCCCATACCATATCATAAGTATGGTTGCATGATTGGTGCAGATTCTCTTACATTTGAGTATATTGGGGATAAATTTCATAGTGTCTTGTTTCATAATGGTAGCTGAATGTATCTTATTCCAATATGTGGGGGTTTTTGTGTTTGTTTAATATTAAAGGCTGCTGATCGAGAAAGCAGGGGGAGGCAGACAGACAACAGACAGATCCCCAGTTATGCTTTTGTTGAACATAGACTCAAGGGATGGGAAAATACCAGGAAATACAAAGTATAATGTTATTGAAGCACACATTCCAAATACCTCTGTCCCATAGCACCTATATATTGATATGGTTTATGAAAACTTTGATTCCAGAAATGTACTACTGCAGCAAGGAGATTTCATGTCCCTCAATATGTGTGGATAACAAAAACTCTATGCTAATAACCTCCATCTCTGTGAGCTGGAAAAACAGGTATACATACATTGTCCTTAACAACCCCTTATAAAACCTGCCTGGCCTCATGGTAAAATGTGGCACTTCTCACAAATACTGCAATAAGCAATAAACAGAAGAGACAGGAGCAGAACCAGGCATTGTGCAGAGGCAAGTAATTGCTATTGCAGTTGAGAGTCACCTAAATTTCTTGGAAATGGTTTGCCTAGAGAATGCAAGTTACCTCCAGGTTGATGGTTTTTATGGAGTGTGAAGATGCCTCACATATCTGCTTCCTGTAGCTAACAATGCAGCACTTACGTTTCTCTGGTGTCACTGTTGGCAGTGGTTCAGGGTGCCTCTTTAGCTCTGGAGGGATGAGGTGGTCTTCTCCTTCGCAGCAGGAAAGCATTACATGGCTGCAAGGGTAGCCAAGATTGGGGTTGGACTCACAGCTTTGACCTTCACTTTTCACTCGTAGGCCCAACGCACAGCAATCGCAGCATTGCTGCAAGAGAAGGGGACTGTTAGCATGGCAACTCTGGCAGTATCACCAAATAACCGCTATATATTATTCTTATTTACTAATTTATATATCACTTGTAAGCCAAAATGGCTTCTAGCATGATGATGTGGTGTAGTGGTTAAGAGCGGTGGACTCGTAATCTGGTGAACCGGGTTCGCGTCTCCGCTCCTCCACATGCAGCTGCTGGGTGACCTTGGGCCAGTCACACTTCTCTGAAGTCTCTCAGCCCCACTCACCTCACAGAGTGTTTGTTGTGGGGGAGGAAGGGAAAGGAGAATATTAGCAGCTTTGAGACTCCTTTGGGTAGTGATAAAGCGGGATATCAAATCCAAACTCTTCTTCTTCTTCTAGTGGGCAGGAACTTGAGAGGAATTCAGTTCAATTCATATTGAAAGTGAACCTACTAACTTCCCCCAATAATACATGAACTGAAGCATGGCCATCCTAAGAAATGTGCACTTCCTAGTGCTATTTTTTTCAGTCGGAGTGTGCCAGAGTGCAGTCCTGGCACCTCTCAGGTGGGCACCATTGCTGGCTGGCACTCTCCCCCCACCTCACTTCTTGCCTTTATGTACTTCTGAAAAGCCCAAAACAAACAATGCATGTCAAAATGGAAGCTGGCCAGCGTGTGCGAGTCTACACTTTTTTAAGATCTATGACTCCACCCACCTTCTAGCTGCAGTTGGTCTAGCAAAGGGGTGGAGCCAGTTCACATTTTCTTCAATCTGTCTCCCTTGTAGTGGCAGCAGGCTTTAAGCTTTCCAGCTAGGCCTCTACCATTGCACACACACGTTTGCACGAGGGCCCTTCTGAGCATAGCTGTCAACTTTCAGATTGGAAAATAAGGGATCAGCAGCCTCATCTGTCCCAGGGACAGTCTACAGGATATCTAACAATCCGGGATAACAGCAGGAAGCAGCAGAAATGGCACTGGAATGAGGGAATCTCCCGCAAAAAAAGGGAAGGTTGACAGCTATGCTTCTGAGCTGCCCTAGCCATCACCCCGAATCTAAGAAAATTAGGGAGGCAGGGGTGCATTTGTTTCACCTGCACCAGAATCAGGGGCACTGGAATCTGTGCAGGGCTGCCCTGAGTCACCCAGTGACTAACTGTAACAAATTCATGTGATATTTAATATATCAGGCTCACGTGTGAACCAGCTTTTCAATACAGCTGCACAAGACCTATTGTGCTTGGGCTTCAGCAGCTAAAATGGCATCTTTGTGGTGGACTTCATAATTCTGCAAATCCTTGTTTTCAACACAAAGGTTTCAGGATCATATATCAGATCTCCTCCCTCCCCATATGTTTCTTTATGATTTGTGACAAAATTCACATTAACGAACACAACAACAGTCGATCCGTACCTACTAGTAAATGTTGCAATCACCCACAACAAGAAGTTTCAAAGCTGAAAATTCAAGTATAATAGACCTGTTCTTTCTTACTGAGAAACTTAATTTATCGCAGCAGGTAATTATAATTACCCCTACGGCATCCAATTTATGATTCCATTTTCAAACTGTTAACATCAAGCCACAACAAACAATAAAACTGCACATAATTTCCCAACAAACAAAAACAACTAAAAAGAGCTGGATTTTCCACCCCACAGCTCTTTCTTTCCTAGGTGCAATACAGAGAAGACAACTAAAAGAGACATTTTAATGTGTTTTTATATTAATTTAATGCTGCAACAAAGTGCTCATGTGTATTTTGAGCTGGTGCCAAAATACTTCGCCCTATTCCTTCATTGGCAAGCTGGCTGATTGACAGTATAAGCAGCCAGTCACAAGAAATGTATTATTTTAATCTCAGGCCCATTTCTCTCTGGGCCTCATAATGTCTGCAGCAAAATTGCCCCCATTGCATATGAGGGAAGTGGTGAAGGGGATAGTGCTCCTGAATTCAAAGAGGAAATAGCACCAAAGGCTAGGCATCTTCACAACTGCCCTGCAGAGTTCATACCCATTTTCTGAAAATTTCACTGGTTGCTGTTTTGATTACAGGCTGCTTTCAAGGTATTGATTTTTAACTTTAAAGCTGCAACCCTAAAAGAATTTGCCTGGGAATAAATAAATCAGGTGCAAACAAAAAATAATTCATTTTCCAGGTAAAGTAACCCCCTCTGATTACAAACCTGACTTTTTCAAGCACAATGGAACTTTTGTGTTGCCTTCTCCCCACTGTGGTGTTTCCTTGCTATTGCCCATCACTTCTCCCTGGCGTTATGGTATTATGGCAGGCTTAGAGACAGTATTTTTTGCTTTTAATAGATGCCTGTCTGAAGCATTTTTTTAAAAAATCTGGATTGCCTTGGAGCCATGAAGCACTTCAGAGGTGCTTCAACACATACTGCCTTGAAGATATCTCAGTTCACCTTTGGCAAGCCCTAAACCTTTCAAAAGCAGTCTTCTTCAGCTTGGGATTTAGAATTTATCTGAATCTGATGCACACCTCTGATATATATGTCTCCATGGAGCAAAGGTGATGTTTTATCAAACTTCTGAGATAAAATTAGCCTCTACCTGAAACATAGCAGGACCTGCACTGTGAGTTTGCTCCCTAGAGAAACTGACCAGACCCTTCCCACTGCGGTTTTTGTGAGATCTGTCAGGATGGCTTTATTCCACTGGGGTGTCTAAGAAGTAGGGCTACTTACTTTGACGTCTTAAGAAGACAGGATTGGTTCATTTGTGTTTAAGAAGATGGAATATTGTTAACATCTTGCATCTGTTATGAACTGATTTTATAATGTTTTGCATTGTTGATGTTTTATTTTTCTTATAAGCTGCTACTTTGAGGACCCTAGTAGTCAAAATGTAGTAAACAAATTCAAATGTACATAAATACATTTTATATTCCTCCTAGAGTCTTCCGTAGACTAGAGAGTCATTATGGACTAAACTTGGAATCTTTAATGAGCAGAGTGTCCTGCAGCATTTTTATGTTTTCCACGCCTGCTTTTATTCTTTTCTTCTAACTTCCTTCTTCTCTTACAGATGTCATCTTTATTGTACTTCCCTCCATCTGGGCTTGAGGTTTTATCTTTTCAGTGTGTTGGATGCTTTCATATTCATATCTCTGTAGCCTGCCACAGAATACTAAATGATGTTTAAGAGCATGCATGCTTTTAAACCAACATTAATTGGCTCAATAAAAGGAATCTGTTATTTTATTTCTTTTTTTATAGATACACTACCCTTAATCAAAGGAATGAGAAGCAGAATTACAGCATTGTACGAAGCTTATCAAGCACAATTAAGGCTGTAAGGCTGATTGGGTTGTCTCAGAAAAAAACAGAATGCCCTCAGGACTAAGTGTTACCCTGTCTTAGTGACATTCACCACAAACCAATCCAGGAATACAGATATGATAATATGCCTCCCTTTCCCATTCATCTTGTTTGCTCATTCTTGCCAATGCCCCACAGTGCACATTTGTAGTTGAGAAACCCAATCCCATTTTCTCTATGCCTCAGAAATACTCTTTGCAGTCTTACTATTAACTGTTCTTTTGAAGGCATCTTCCTTGAACCATCAGCCAGTGAAGGCTGGCCCATTAGGGCAAATTAAGCCCTGGACTGCCAACATCAGCCTGCCCTCAGCTGGCCCCCAGCTGCCTGCCTTCTTAGTGACAACCAGCCCCAGTGCTGGCCCTGGCCCTCAACTTCCTCCTTCTCCTTAGTCTGACAGAGTTGTAGAGTTGGAAGGGACCACAAGGGCCATCAACCTGAAGGAGCGTCTCCACCTCCATCGTTCTGCCTGGACACTGAGGTCCAGCTCCGAGGGCCTTCTGGTGGTTCCCTCACTGCGAGAAGTGACGTTACAGGGAACCAGGCAGAGGGCCTTCTCGGTAGTGGCACCCACCCTGTGGAATGCCCTCCCATCAGATGTCAAGTAAATAACAACTAGCTGACTTTTAGAACACATCTGAAGGCAGCCCAGTTTAGGGAAGTTTTTAATGTTTGATGTTTTATCATGTTTTTAATATTCTGTTGGGAGCCGCCCAGAGTGGCTGGGTTTCCAGATGGGCAGGGTATAAATATTAAATTATTATTATTATTATTATTATTATTATTATTATTATTATTATTATTATTATTTCCAACCTACTGCAGTGCAGGAATCTTTTGCTCAATGTGTAGCTAGAACCCACAACCCTGAGATTAAGAATCTCATGCTCTACTGACTGAGCTATCATCTCAATGCCACGCTTGTTGAACAATGCAAGCAGGAGGATGGGGACAAGCGATGTCATTGGCTTTACCTGTCATTGGCTCTGGCTCGACCTCCTCCACCCCCAGTCCCAATGGGCACCAGCCACCACTGCCAACAGCAGGAGGCTGAATGCTAGCAAGTACAGCATGCATTTCCTATTTCAAACAGCTCACCATTCAACATTATTTAATAGGTGATCAGGTGTAGTTGCACCAGTAATACCACCCTGACTTACAATGCTGCTTACAATGCAATTGGGTGCATATCTTCTCATAAGCAAGTCCCATCAAACCTTTTTATGGGACTTGCTCCCAGGTAAGCATGCATGAAATCACAGCCCCATTCTCTGAAATAATGCGCATGGAACAAGACTTCACTGCACAAAGAAGTAATTCCCGAAATTTGGAGGCGTCCTTGACAAGCAGTTCTCCCTGTTCACTCACTAGGAATTTTATGGCAACTGGGCTGTACAGTTTATATCATAGCAACATCCATTGCAGATAAATGATCCATAACACAAATCTCAGCATAGCATTTTTACTCATTTTCAGAAATAATCAAATACTGTAATAATGTCCTGAAAATTAGATTATTCAGTAGGAATAATAAGCCTCACCAACCAATTAACCCCTGTGTTGCACCAAGAATGACCTTACATTTTTCATACTAACAGAAGTTATTCGTAAGACACTTTGATATTACAAGACTTGGCAGGATTAATGCATTTCCTGCTGAGGCAATGGAAAATTACACTCGGGAGTATCAAACAACTTTGTAAATGGTGATCAATGTTTAATGAATTCTGAAACCTTCAGTTTGGCTACAATCTGGAAGAAAGGACATAATAAATAAGGAGTCAGACCCTAAGCAGGCAGAAACTGGCAAGGCTCCATTGTATGGGAATCAATGAGGTGAATGAAGCTGTGCAATTTTTTTTGCCAGGGCAAATCCCCCCCCCCCCAATTTAGCATCTGCATCGATCTTTATTTATGAGCTAAAGTTTCTGGAGTGAAACATTTCTTCTTCTAAGTCAAGTGTTCTGTTCAACTGCTCAGTTCAGCTTCAATCCAATAAGTGGTTAAGCAAGGAGGGGGAGGGGGCTGATGTAATCTACTTCCCTATCTATAATATGATTTTTAAAAAGCAAGTAACATGCTGTTAAGTATAATACTGGAGATAGACTTCTTGAGCTATGCACTAATGAAATTCTTATCTATTAGATATATGGAAAAGCAAATTAAAATGAAGGCCCTGAAATTCAAGATTGTGCATCTGGCTGAAGCAGAGAAATAAATATGAGCAGTCAAAATGCTTAGCTAAGTGAAATTTTCATTCCTGGTCCATGATGCTTTGCAATTAAGGAGAGAGAGAGAGAGAGAGAGAGAGAGAGAGAGAGAGAGAGAGAGATAACAAATGCCAAACCCTTAAAAGTGCCAAAGCTTAACCTGATTTGAATTAGTAATGGTGCCACAAAGGTTCCAGCATTGTGCCTTGCCTTATAAAACGATCCTCCGCAGGTCTCACTTTCATCCGGGCCACACAATTCACCTTCTCTGGCAGCAATCATGCCAGCAATGCAGCTGTTTTCCTTTAAATACGAGACACAACACTGCTTCTGAGCAATTCTACAACAAATAAAACACATGTTGCTCTCAAAAGGCAGGTTTCTACTTGCAAATGCCATTATTCAGTAAGAACTGACACCACTGGACACGCCAAATAGATGTTCTGCATGTTTTCTTGCCCTTTCATTGGCATCACTATTTTGCAGCTCAAAATGCTGAATCAAGAGGTCAGCAGGGTCAAAGGAGTGTGTTTGTGTGTGTGTGTGTGTGTGTGTGTGTGTGTGTGTGTGTGGAGGGGCAGTACTGTGTTTGAGACAACAGGAAGGTTGTGGAATGATGTTAGTGGAGCTCTAGGTTCATGGCACTGTTGTCCTACAGGGATCAATCCTGCAGGCTGCTTTGCCAGCATGTTTCCCACAGGCTTGCACTTCTCCACACAATCTTGCTGGCTGCAAGGGGCTGCTTTGTGCTGGCAATGAAGCACCCAGCAGGTTTAAACCATCTGCTTGCCAGCTGGTTCAATGCTGACGACTGCAGTGGTTTGCTTCACCACACCCAGCAGGACCAAACCCGGAGATTCCCCCCCCGCCGCCCCTCCAGCACTTTGCATTTGGCTTGGGAATGCATTGGTAACTAGCGCAACTGATGCAATCTTGGTCTTGCATGATCCAACTGCCTAGAGTTGACCGTGATTTTAGCAACCATGATTCAGAAGGATCTAGGGGCCAAGTGGTGGGTCTCAAATTAGTTTCTCCATGTCCTTAAAATGCATCCTTCTCGGTAGTGACGCCCTTCCTGTGGAACGCCCTCCCACCAGATGTCAAAGAGAACAACAACTACCAGACTTTTAGAAGACATCTGAAGGCAGCCCTGTTTAGGGAAGCTTTTAATGTTTGATGTATCACAGTATTTTAATATTCTTTTGGAAGCCGCCCAGAGTGGCTGGGGAAACCCAGCCAGATTGGCGGGGTATAAATAATAAATTATTATTATCCATAACAACATGACTATTAGTACTGTCCACATCTGGGGGGGGGGTTTCTGCAAGATGCCCTGCAATCCACTGGATGCTTACTTGTGAGTAAGTCCCTGTTCTGAAATCCTGGAGAGTTCGGTTCTAGATGGACCAACAAGTCTGATTTAATATAAGGCACTTTCCTATGCTCCCTATGCAGGAACATGCATTCCAGGTCTTGATCAACATAGAAATATTATATATTGCAGGGTGCCAACTTGAATAAAATATTGGGGGAAGGTAAGCCATGTCCCAACGTAATAGATCACATGACACAGTGCACACACACTATTTGAATGGCAATGCTCATCAACCTTGGGGAGGACCAGCCCCCTCAAATATTTTATTCAGGGGGCCAAAGGGACCTTGGCCCTTAGGGGTTGGCTCCTATGTTATATTATCCTGCCAGATACAAGCATTACCATTCCATCCATGGCAAACATGGATTCAGTCATTCTCATTATTTATTTATTGGCTCAGTATACATATTTATTTATTTATTTATTTATTTATTTATTTATTTATTTATTTATACATATAATATACATATAATACATATTTATACATATTTATTTATACATATTTATTTATTGGCTCAGTATACATCCAGTCCACACCTTCCATTGGTACAATGCTCAGGCCATGATAAGAGGTGGGATTGTGCAGTTGCTATAAAAGCATAAAATGAGGAGGCTTGACATGCTCCTCTTTGTATAAATACATACCAAATATCATGCTTCTATCACCAAGTGCACTTTTTTCTCCTCGCTAAGCTCCTGTACTCCACCAATATCAGATCTACTTTGGTTATTTGTAAACTTGCTATAGAAAGTTGCAGTGAAATGAGTATAATCTTTTGAGCAGGAGTTCAGTCTGATATTTACATACGGAATGAGAAGAAAGACCCATTAATTAAATTCTAAATCCCTTTGTAAGGAGCTCATTTACTTAAAATTTGATCTTTATTTATTTAGTTTCCATTTGTGCTAGACATTTCCCCCCACAAATGAGAGAGAAACTGGCTCACATTTTCTTAATTGCAGTATTCCTGCTATTTTAGACCAAGGGTCTTGATTCCTTTATGTAACTATAATAGTGCACTTCTTAGCAAATGGGTCATATCAAATTCTGTGAGATTACGCTGGGGAAACAGACTTACTAAAGGCCGAGATTCAGGTGGCAGTGACGGAAAGTAAGCATCCCATTAACTCAGTTCCGTATGCATAGTGCACTTTATGTGTGCCGTTTATGAGAAACAGACTTTTGCACTTAGCACAGATTCTCAGCAGGGAGCTTGATTTTTATCAGGCAAAATTAAAGGGCTTATCTTATTCATCTATAGCATTAAAAAAATCATCGTATGATCTGCGATAAGCCAAAATAATTGTTCTCCTGTAATTGGAGGAATGTGCATATTAAAAGGTTCAAGTTCATTAAGGCTCTATATTTTGGGAGAGAAATGTTCCTTATATATATGTCAGGCCGTCTTGCCACACTTCAGTAAGTTTACGCAGCATGTGCGCAGATGGGCTTATCCATATCTTTCTTCTGCACTTTCCAGGCATGGTCCACAATTTAAAGCTCTGTGACAGGGTGAACCCCTCCAGAGCTTTCCTGGTGAAAACTAGCTCTTTATAGCTCAATCAGAACAAACGTCAATCTGCAGAAAACCTGAATTGATGTTTGGTCTGATTTAAGTTTTAAAGAACGGGTTTTTGTGAGAAAAGCTTGGGGCCAAAAAAGAGAGAAAAGGCACGCTTGGACATGGAGTGTTAAAGCATGGAGCTCTGGGTTGAAAGAGCAGGGCAAATGGTAAGAGTGGATAATCCCTGTATGTGTGTAACATGGATCATATGTCAGATTATAAAATGCAGGCTGCTTGTGATTTTTCAGCTTCTTAACTTTAGTTTACATACCTGCAGATATCGCCATCAGCTCCACTTACAGGGATTTCTGTGCATTCATTGTTGTCAATAGCCCACTGTTGTCCAGCAGCACAGCAAGTTTCAATTAAATCTTTTGTTGAACCTGAAAAATAGCAGATATACAACTATATAAAATACGCTTTGGGAAAACAGATTTTTGTATGCTAGGATGAGTTCTGCAACCTGGTCTCCTGATTTTGTACAAAGGGACACACCTGGGTATATCTGTGAAAATTCCATTGTGCAGAAGCTTACAATTACAGCACAGTGGTACCTTGGAAGTCGAATGGAATCCGTTCTGGAAGTCTGTCCGATTTCCAAAACATTCAGAAACCAAAGCACAGCTTCTGATTGGCTGCAGGAAGCTCCTGCAGCCAATCGGAAGCCGCAGAAGCCCCGTTGGACGTTCGGCTTCGAAAAATAGTTTGCAAACCAGAACAGTCACTTCTGGGTTTGCAGCATTCAGGAGCCAAAATGTTCGAGAACTAAGCTGTTTGAAAACCAAGGTACAACTGTACTGCTTCTTACACTTCTGTCTACTTAGAAGTAAGCCCAACTGAGTCCAATGGGAGTTAATACCAGGTAAGTGTATATGGGATTGCAGCCTTCAAGCTTCTCTTACAGCTGCTTCAGCTGAGGGATACAGATCCTGTCCGAATATTTACTATTAACAACATATAACCTATGAATAGCTTCACCCACCTTGTCGTCCATCCTATACAGTGAGCTCATTGTCTTAATAATTGATCCTTATATAGCCAAATGACACCTTCCACAGACAAGGTAGATGTATCAGCAGGCTTAGGGGAATGCCAAGGTTTTCAGAAGTACCAAAACGTTAAGGGGATATTTTTTTTAAAAAAGCCCAAAATAGCCCTATGGGGACTGAGCATACTCCGTGGTCACAGAATGCTGGCTGATTATTGGAAGGGAGAGAAATGGAAAGCAAGGAAGGGGGTGGTGGAATGGAGTATCCTGTAAAAGGGCATGGATGTCTGCCACACCTTACTGCAACATTTTGTATACAGGTACCACTTGCATTTTCAGTTTTGCAATGCATTTTTCTTCAAGTGTTAGTTAAGATCCATTAACCAGATTTTACTTCTCGAAAAGAAGCCTGTTTCCCAAGATCCCTTTCCAGCTTTTGAGGGCACAGGAACCCATGCAACGCCATTGCTTTGAATACTACTTGGTATAATTGGAGAACCAAGGTTGTATAGAAGGAGCTTTCTCTGTGGCTCCTACCACACCAGAGCAGGAGCAACACAATCATGGAAATGAGCTGTGGTGTGACTTCGACTCTCCAAGATGACAGAATGATGAGGAGCAGCTTCCACACCACTAAAACCAATGCCAGAAGGGACCAAAACTCATATACACATTGGAAACTTAAATTCCAGAATTTGGTATTTTATCTTTCCTAGCGGCCATATGTATTATTTTCTTTTTGTTGTGTCACTCACAAAATACATGTTTGATCGTGGTGTTTCTACATAAAACCAATTTTGATTAATCTTCTATATTGCTGATGGCAGAAGCAACAATGTAGCATACAAGAGGAATAACTATCTAGCAAGGATTTAACAAATGTTACTGGTTTTGATCAATATTCATGTGAGTAATATTGCATTAAAAGGCCATGTCTTTTATTGAATTATCATTAGTCAAGTATTGACCATATTCAGTGAAGAACAGACTCCTCAGGGCCTTAAGGACTCCAAGAAAAAGAAGCTGAACTTTGCTTGTCGAGAGACCCTCAGTGCTCAGGTTCAGTACAGAAGGTCAATGGGATGACTCCAAAATGAGTGGTTTGTGGCCAGTAGCTTTAGGCAAGCTCAATTACCAGCCCAATTTACAAGACAGATGCAGCTGGTGAACCATTTAAGAATCCAGTGCTGTCAGCAAACAAAGCATATGACAGACAGGCTGAACACTATCCGCTTTCATTGTTCATGTATGTTTAAACTCTCACAGGTAAAAGCTTGTTCCGCAAGCTAAAAGAAAGAAAGAAAGAAAACCAGTTTCTTCTGTTGTCCACAGTGCAGCTTCTGGAAACAATTGGATGTTACCTCAGGGTTGGGGGTGGAGGCAGAATGATGTTCATAGCCCAGGCAAGCAGAAGAAGCATGCTTCCCATACTGTAGGATTTCAGGAATAGGGTTAGTAGATCCAAGGAATGGTGTCTGTCTAAGCATACACACTGGGGTGAGGCCAGGGGTCAGTTCATCATCATCATCATCGTCGTCATCATCATTTATACCCCTCCCATCTGCCTGGGTTTCCCCAGCCACTCTGGGCAGCTCCCAACAGAATATTAAAAACATGATAAAACATCAAACATTAAAAACTTCCCTAAACCAGGCTGCCTTCAGATGTCTTCTAAAAGTCAGATAGTTGTTTATTTCCTTGACATCTGGTGGGAGGGCATTTCACAGGGCAGGCACCACTACTGAGAAGGCCCTCTGCCTCGTTCCCTGTAACCTAACTTCTCGAGCCTCTGCCTGGTTCCATCACTTCTCAAGGTGATGGAACCACCAGAAGGCCCTCGGAGCTGGACCTCAGTGTCCAGGCTGAACGATGCGGTTGGAGACGCTCCTTCAGGTATACTGGGCCGAGGCCGTTTAGGGCTTTCAGGGTCAGCACCAACACTTTGAATTGGGCTCAGAAATGTACTGGGAGCCAACCCTGATGTCTCCCAGGCTGGGGACTGGGAAGGATAAATGCCCAATGCCTGAGCCAAGGTCTCCCTACATCTGAATAAAGTTGTGACCAATTTTAATCCCATAGCACATTGTCTTGAGTCATTATTCTGCTCGGGGGTCACCTGGGGTTGGGGGGACTCTGCCTGTCCACTATTGCTCTTTGGGGGCAATATGGTATTTTTTCAGTCTCTATCTCAAGTGTAGGTTGCAAGCACATAGGCAATTATAGAAAATGTTTGGTCCTACATGCCCTTTGAACTTTTTTCTGCAGGAATATCCAAAAGGGACTCACAGATCAGCTATCACAGTGAAAATAATGGAAGAGTAAAAATACTTGCTGATGTTGGAACCATATGTATATATGATTTTAACATCTTTGCTTGATTTGGCTGGGCAGTGTTTGCAAATGAAGTGGCCAGATGAATTCTGATTTCACACAAATTACAGATAATTTGTGGTAATATGAACTTTTGCAGGAAGGTTTGAAGTTCAGGAGGAATTTTTTTGTAGGAAACTTATAAATCTCAGTGTCAGAAACAGCATCTAAATTACAGGAAATTTCTCATTTGCTAGTACATATTGTGAAAATATAAAACTGCAGCCCTTCTACCACCACAGTGTGTATTTGGTATTGGAATTAGAGAGAGACCTGTGCTATGGAACATGTATTCTATAAGGTATAATCTAGCGGACACCAGATGACTCAGTCAAACTTGGAGGTGGATTACTGGGTCCTTGCCTCAAGAATCCTACAACTTCAAGCTGGCCTCAGATGCAGTCTAAGGAAGAGCACTACACAGGAGACCAGAGTTAGAGGATTCATCACTTGGCTGTTCCCCAAACCCAGGAATTCAGACTTCAATCAAAGAATCAAATTCTCCAGTTTCTCATCATCTTCTTGCCCTCCCTCCTTCGTAAGCTCTAACAAGTAGCAGAGAACATGATGATAATGGAAGCTGCCTAGTTACCACGTTAATTGCTCAGTTAAGCTCAGACCCTTACCAAAGCTAATTCCATTGCTCCTGGGAGTTAACACAAGGGGTCAAGTCCCCCCCCCAATTGAGGGGGCCCTGCACGCAGCTCACATGTATGACATCACATTTTCTGAAGGCTGAGCGCTCTGGAGCAGCCGGCCACTGAAACTGTGCTGCATTGAGCGCCACACTTGGCCTCCTCTGCTCCCTCCGCACTGAGGAGGCCCTGCCCGCTTCCAACAAAAATTAAGGGGGCCGAAGACACCTCCACCCCCTAGAGTTGGTGCACCTGCTAGGGGCTATCCCAGATCCTGCCCTGCTTGAAGTGGCCTGCATCCTTTTTGGAGCAGATGTCTAGATCACATTAGTGTCCTGAAATATATGGACTACTAATACAGATCTACTTTTTCTATCTAGACAAAAAACTCAAGGACAGTAAGACAGTTGCATTAGTGAACTGAGGCTGTTAGTATCCTTGCCAACTCATAGTTTTTATCTGTCTTATGTCTCATGTCAGCCTCCATGCAATCAAATGGAGGTTCTGAAACAGAATCAGGTAAAGTGGATTTGACCTACATACTGTATACATACACACATAGAGACACGCACTTTCAGGCATTTGAAACTAAATATTTATATGCAGAACCAAGAAACTAAAATTATCAGGTTCTGACAATTTATTTGATTATGAACCTGTCATAGTCCTGGAATTTTTCTAAATATACTGTACCTATATTTATATACTGTATCTGATTTCAGTGGATCAACTTTGTGTATCACTTAGTCAAAAATAATTACAGCCAGAATAATTACAATGTTCCTAACATGAATTGGAATGACGGTAACACAAACTTGTTCCTCAGTATTGCATTAGTGCATATATATCCACACAAAAGCAGACAGACATACATACTGTGGTTGATATGACAAAGATGGTCAAAACACAAGAATAAAACAATATTGAAACACTAATAACAATACCATCATTCCATTGAACCCACTGTGAATATGGAATAATTATTTGATTTCAAATAATAATAGATTGAATTGTGAAGGAAACTATATTGTGTGGAAAGTGTAATAATGGACATTAGATGGCTGTTTCTGGGTGGAGTCAAGAGTTTCCCATTACTATCTATTTTTCTTTATTAGTGACAATAAAGTTATTGTCTAGCTTCTTGCCTTGTGTGTCCTCTAAGGCTTGCATAACAGAGGTATACAAGTTCATTGCCTTAAACCAGAAGTCAGCAAACTTTTTCAGCAGGGGGCTGGTTCACTGTCTCTCAGACCTTGTGGGGGGCCCGACTATATTTTTTGTGGGGGGTGGGGGTGGGGGGGAGAATGAATTCCTCTGCCCCACAAATAACCCAGAGATGCATTTTAAATAAAAGCACACGTTCTACTCATGTAAAAACACGCTGGTTCCT